TTCCTTCCTTCCTTCCTTCCTTCCTTCCTTCCTTCCTTCCTTCCTTCTTTCCTTCCTTTCTTTCTTTCTTTCTTTCTTTCTTTCTTTCTTTCTTTCTTTCTTTCTTTCTTTCTTTCTTTCTTTTCTTTCTTTGTCTCTCTCTCTTTCTTTCTTTCTTTCTCATTCCTCCTCCCTCCCTCTCTTTCTTTTAATAATATTTTATTTTTTCTAATTACATGTAAAGACAATTTTTAATATTCATTAAAAAATCTTTAGTTCCAAATTTTCTCCCTCACCCCCTCACTAAAAAAATAAGAATTTTAAATAGATTATATATGTGCAATCATGTAAAGCATATTTTCCTATTAGTCCTGTTGTGAAAGAAGAAACAGAATAAAAGCAATAAAAAATACAAAAAAGATTAAGAAAGTGAAAATAGTACGCTTTGATCTGCGGTCAGACTCCACCAATTCTTTCTCTGGATGTGTAAAGCATTTTTCATCATGAGTCCTTTGGAATTGTCTTAGATCGTTGTATTGCTGTGAAGAGTTAAGTCTATCATAGTTGATCATCATACCACATTCTGTTACTATGTACATTGTTCTCCTAAACCTGGTTCTTTCGATCTCTGATCTATCTAGTTTATTTTCCACTGTGTCAGGTTTCCTCCCTTGAGCTGTGTAATAACAAAGATAGGTGTTTAACAATAAATAAAAAAAATAATAGAATAGCTTGGTTACCTTGAAATTAAGGTATGTGACACCTCATATGTAATAGTGTCTCATAAACAAATACATGTAATGGAAATCCTGTAACTATTAGAATGTTTCAATACTTGGGGTAACTAGAAATTTAAATATTTGTCCCATTCTAATACATATATTTAAAACAACATTCAGGGCAGCTAGGTTGTGCAGTGGATGGAGTGCCATGGAGTCAGAAAGACTCATCTTGATGAGTTCAAATCTGGCTTTAGACACTTACTAGCTGTGTGACCCTGGGCAAGTTACTTACCCTTGTTTACTTCAATTACTTCATTTATAAAATGATCTGGAGAAGGAAACGGCAAACCATTCCCAGTATCTCTGCCAAGAAAAGTCCAAATGGAGTCACAAAGAGGCAGACGTGACTCAACAACAAACAATAATAACAACATGAGCCAGAGAAGAAAATGGCAAACAAACATCTTTGCCAAGAAAACCTTAAATGGAGTCATGAAGAGTCAGACATGAATGAAAATGACTCAACAACAACAACAAAATTCAATAGTCTGATTAAAAACAACACCGTGAATAACCTGGCCTACTCCTTCTAAAAGTTGCCTGATAGAGTTGTTCTTTTCAATTAATGGAGAGGTAAAGGGGACATGGCTGTCCTTTCACATTGGCAAGGGGCTGGGGAATGGGATCAAAGTTAGTTTTATTTACATGGAGTCCCCAGTGGGCTGTTAATTACCAGGATTTCAAATCTGATGGCATTTGAAATAGAATATTGAATTACACTTGTGTTTGGAGTCAGTTTATCTTCTGATATGAAGGTAGATTTGTGGCAGGAAGGAAAGGGAGGAAATGAAGTTAGATTTCTTCCTGTGTTAGATGGAGGGATGGTCTTTTTGTTATGTTCCTTAGGGATTTGTGCACTAGGTTAAGCCATTAGGGAAAAGAAAGCTTCAGAAATCTATAGCAAGAGCAGACCTCCAATTATGCTTCAAGTAGATTTTAAAAAAAAGTTATCTTAGACATCTTAATATAAAATACAGTCTGTAAGCTTATGTAGAATGTTGTTTCAGTGAATACCCAATTTGGTGGAAAAGGAAAAATGGAATAATTTTGTTTTTTCTATCCTCAATTTATATTCTAATATTTGGCTTGATATTTTGGATTGCAACTGTAAATTAAGGACGTAAATCTTGATGTGGGCATATACATTTATTTTATATTTGTTAGTGAAAGAGATATCAGTTTGGGATATTCAAAGGAAAAGGTGTGTAATGTATTTTCTAGTGACAATTCCAGTAAAAAATACAAGCTCTTTGGTTATTATCTCACTTCCTTCTACTTTGGGTAACTTCCCTGTGGTTCTGCCCTACTTCCTAAAGTTTTGCAAACATACTCCTACTAAACTTCTGTAATTTGGGGACAGACTTCAGCAGTTGGTTCCCCCCCTCCCCCAACTCTTACCCCTTAAAGACCAAAATTGTAGCATTCATTTTATCTGGGAACCATAAGTTTAAGAAATCAGGCATTTTGAACTCATGTTGCCCCAAGAACCAAATGGTTACAGCTCTTCTACTTACAATGTGGTCACAACTGGCTAACAAAATGCTGTGTGCCAACAAAACTGTTGTACTGTGGGTAATCTGCTGGTAATTAACCTTGTAAGCTTACTTTTTAAAGAACACTTGTATGTAAACAGAATGGAAGCTCAATAGAAACAAGGGTGGAGTGTTTATTTAGAGAGGAAAGATAAACCCTAGTAGCTGTGAGAAGGGTTGTAAATCCTTGTGGACTATGCAGAGAATAGAAGTTAGCAGTAGATTGCTCAAATATTAATGTACCATCAAGGGGAAAAAATTTACTAATAGACACAGAGCTAATATGTGGCAAAGTTGTATTTCAAACTCAGACCATGTGACTCTAAGGCCAGTACTCTTTTCACTATGTACCATACTACCTATAATTTGTCCAAACTTAGATGCATGCGTTGGAGTATAGTGTATAAAACTCTTACAATTTTTCGTCTGCACGTAATATGGGTCAGACGTTATTGGCATACAGGGCTGAGTTTTAGGGCCTCTGGTTGAAATAGAATTTTGTCGTCCTGGACAGAAGAAACAATAACCAAGATCATTACAAGTTCAGACAATGGCACCTCTAAGAAAAGATTAATGGAACTGTATTTAAATGACGGAAGAGTTAGCTGAGGTTTTTGAATAAATGTTCAATAATAGTTTTTGAATATGTATTCAATAATAATTTTTGAAAATATAAAGGGATATTATAAGAATGTTGGCAAGTGTATTTGCTGCCACTCAAGAGAGTGGCAAAAAAACCCCCAAAAAACCAAAAGGTCTGCTATGGCAGCAGCAAGCATAGGGAGGGAGCGGGATATGAGACATTGGAATAAATTATCAAGGAAGGCTAAGGAATATCCCTCCAGGAAGATTTCTATTTTTAAAAAAATTTTTTTTTTTGGCTTAGGCAATGGGGTTAAGTGACTTGCTCAAGGTCACACAGCTAGTAAGTGTTATGTGTCTGAGGCCAGATTTGAACTCAGGTCCTCCTGACTCCAGGGTGGTGCTCTATCCACTGTGCCACCTAGCTGCCTTCATCTATTTTTTTTTTAAAGGAATACAACTTTTTTTCCAGGAAACTTTGCATAACTAAAGGCATGAGGTAAATAAATAAATAAATAAATGATATCTCTATCTATAATATATACACATACATACATATACATGGATATGAGTATATATACATGTATATATACATATACACATAATATGCACATGTATACACATATAGGTTTATATGCACATATAATATGATATCTACACCTATATACATATACACATACATATATAATATATATGCAAGCAACAGAAATTTTAATGTATTCATATATATGCATATATGCATATATGTGAATATACATGTATATACCATTGCCTTCTTGGATTCCATTTGTGTTTCATAGCTCTAGAATTCTGTGACATTTCTAATCTGTTTTGTTCTTCCATACAGAAGGGAAAGGATGCCATTTGTAAAACAGGATGATAACATCTGATGGAAAAACCACTTTACATCTCTCCTTTAAAAATATGTGTAAAGTGTATTTCAGTGTGTTGAAATGTAATGTTCTGGTAAACTTGGTTTTATAACTTGAAAGTCTTCCAGAAGATAGACTTGTATAGAATCCTATGGGCATGATGGTTACTAAGGGACTAATTCAGTGTAAATTAGGAATGATATAAGTTCTAGTTTTAAAGGGCAAAAAGATTAAGGTTAAGAGGGGGAAAAATTATTCCCTCTTGATTAGAATAATTATAATCATTGGCTTCATTCTGACAGTTTAAGAAATGAACTGTGTATTTTTTTTCTTCTTTCTCTTGTGACTTTTGAAATATGTAAAAACTTGTATTTCTGACCCTGTCATATTATAGCAACTTAATGCTTTCTCTTGGGTCAGTCTGAAGGCAGTCACATATCTCTGTTAGATGAAAGGGAAGCTCCTGGAAAATGTTAAGTTGTTTTTAAAGGCTTTTGACATATGAGAACTATTTAGTTTTTCACTGAGACTCAGTTTGTGTTGAACTCAAAGATGGGGAATAAAACAGATTGTTGAACGAAGTATCTTATTGTACCTAGGTGTTTGCATCTCTTTAAATCTTTTAAGAATAGAGACTAAAAAGTGTAGGGTAAAGTATACCAGATTTATAGTCAAATGACTTGGAATCAAGAAACCTGGCTTGTCACTTGCTAATCAGGTGAATCTAGTCAGATCTGATAATATCTTTGAGCCTCATCATTGTCATCTGTAAAATGGGACTTTGTGTCACTTGTTTCATTGACTTGTTCAGAAAGTGATTTGTAGATCATAAAATGATGGATAATAAGATCATAGGATCACAGATCTAGAGTCAGTCAATGAACACTTATTAAATTCCTCCCACAAGGCACTATCTCATGACTTCTGGCATTCATTGAGCAGGTTAGGAAAGACTTTGAAAGCTAACCAGTTGATTTTATAATTGATCCTGAAAGTAATAGGGAACCATTGGAGTTAATTGAGAAGAGGCATGATATAGTTAGACCTGTGCTTTTGGAAGATAACTTTGACTGCTAAATAGAGGATGGATTGGAGTATGGAGAGACTTGTGGCTAGGGGACCAACCAACAGGCTATTGTTATAGTCCAGGTGTGAGGTGGTAAGAGCCTGTACCAAGTTGGTGACAGTGTCCAAGGAGAGAAGGGGGTATATATGAAAAACGTTACGAAGATATAATTGACAGGCCTTAGCAACAGATTGGGTATGGGGAGTGAGAGTGAGGAGCTGATGTTGAAATCACAACCCAGGTTGTGATCCTGGGTGATGGGGAGGATGGCAGTGCCCTCAACAGTAACAGGATGTTAAGAAGATGGGGGATTTTGGGGGAAAATAATTAGTTCAGTTTTGAATGTATTGAGTTTAAGATTTCTATGGGGCATCAGTTGAAGATATCCGGCAGGCAGTTGGAGATATGCATCTAGATGTCAGCAGACAGGTTAGAGCTGGATAAGTTTAGGTTAGAAAATCATCAGCAGAAGTGATAATGGAATGTATGGAAGCCAAGAAATCACTAACTGAAAGAACGTAGAGGGAAAAGAAAAGAGGGCCAAGAAGAGAGCCCTGTGGGGCACTCACTGTTAGCATTAGAGCTGGAGGAGATTTCAGGGGCCATCCAATCCAACACTTTTATTTTACAGGTGAGGAAACTGAAGGCAAAGGAGATTAGGTGATACAAGTAGTTAACATCCAAGTTGAGGTTTGAACTCAAATCCTCTGCCTTTAGAGTCAGCTCTTTCCTTTTTTTTCCTCAGCTAATAAACATTTCTTTTCTTTCCCTCTATCTACCTCTTTTCATTAAAAGAAAGAAAAATATTTTAAAATAAATATGCATATTCAAACAAAACAAATTTCCCCGTATTTTGTTATTCAGTTGTTCCAGTCATGTCCAACTCTTTGTGACCTCATTTGGGGTTTTCTTGGCAGAGATACTGGAATGGTTTGCCATTTCCTTCTCTAGCCATTTTACAGATGAGGGAACTGAAGCAAACAGGGTAAAGTGACTTACTCAAGGTTACGCAGTTTGTGTCTGAGGCTGGATTTGAACTCAGATCTTTCTGACTCTAGACCTGGTCCTCTATCCACTTAGCTGCTCTGGTGATGAAGATGGGATTCCCCCATTGGCCATGTCTAAAAATATATGTCTCATTCTATATCTGGATTCCCTCACCACTGTCAGCAGTGGGCAGCATTCTTCATCATCAGTCCTTGAGAATCATTGTTGGTCATTACATCGATTATAATCCTTCAAAGTCTGCATTTAACAATGCTGTTACTGTATAAATTGCTCTTCTGGTCCTATTCGCTTCATTATAAATCAGCTTATACTTATCTAAGACCTGAGTTCAAATATGGCCCCAGACACTTTCTAACTAGATAACCTTGGGCAAGTCACTTAATCTCTGCCTGCCTCAGTTTCCTTATCTGTAAAATGGGGATAACAATAGCACCTATCTCCTAGGGTTATTGTGAGCATCATTTGATATAACATGCATAAAATATTTTGCAACCTTTAAAGTACTATATAAATGCTAACTATTCTGGTTATTTCCAGGTTTCTTTGAAACCATCTCTTGTTTTTTTTTGTGGCACAATGATATTCCATTACATTCATATGCCATAATTTGGTTGGCCATTCCTCAATTCCTCCCATAGTTTCCATTTGTTTTCCATACCAAAAAAAAAAAACCAAACCCACAAACTCCCCTCCTCCCCCACTATAAATATCTTTGTACATATGGGTCCTTTTTTCCTTTCATTGATCTATTTAGGGTATAATCCTAGTAGTGGTATTGCTGGGTCAAATAGTATGTATAATTTAGTAACTTTGTATCATGGTTCCAAATGACTTTCCAGAATAGCTTTGCTGATTCACAGCTCCACCAACAGTACATTAATATGGCTCTTTCTGGTAGTCCCCCCAACATTTATCATTTTCTTCAACTTTGCTAATCTGGGTGTTTGATGTGTTTGAGGTAGAACCTCATATTTACTTTAATTTGCATATCTCTGATTGTTAATGACTTTTTTTCCCCCACATAGCTATTGATAGCTTGGATTTCTTCCTTTGAAAACCACTGGTTCCTGTCATTTGACTATCCACTAAGGAAACGTTCCAGAACCAGTTATATTTCTATTGCATCAGTATTCACGATTAGCTCTTTTGGTAAAAAGTTTATAGAAATAAACATAATTGAGTAGAAAAATGTACTCTTCTCTTTAGGGAAGCCTTGCTGTTGAGACCAGAAATTCAGACCCAAGGTACCACTCATGCATTTAATTGTAGTCATAGTGCATAAGAGGAAGTAAAATGACTCTTTGACTGCTGGCCTTGAAAATTTGTATCTATTTAATGGAAGTATACAACACAGACTCCCCAATTACTATTTGAACAATTCAATCAATGAATTAAAAAATGAATTTAGCTTAAGTTAGATGTTATAGTGGCATTTATTTCCATAATAAACTTTCCTTAAAAATCAACTCTTTAAATTTGTTTAAATAAAATGTATTATGATATTAAAATATTTAAAATAAAATAAATATGATGTTAAAAATCAACCTATTTTACTTTTCTAGGAAACTAGTAATATTGGCAAAGACCATCAGATTTGGGGTTCAGAAGACTTGGATTCAAATCTTTTCTCCATTACTTACCATCTATATGACCCTAACCTTAAACTTCTATGGGTGCCTGTTTTCTTATCTATAAAATGAAGAGGTTGCTCTCTAGGGTTCCTTCAGGCCCTAAATCCTGTTACCCTATGAGCTCAGATTATCAAAATGGGTATACACAGCTCCAAATGAAATGGATTGTGGATAATGGTCTGGCTAATTGATTTCAGATAGTCAAAAAGAGCTGTCTACATTGATCAGATTAACTGGGGAATTGCCTCTTTCCCACTTCACTTTCTGCTGAATAGACTGTTCTCTACTCATCATTTGTAAGTTAAACTGGAAGACGCATATTTTGCATTTCAAAAAAAAAAGCCATGTTGACAAGATCTAATATCGATAAAATCCCAGCATATGAATATTTATGGAAAACGTGCAGCCTTATATAGATCTCCTGCTGCCTCACAAAGAGCTTCACTCTCTGGGACTTCTCACCACCAAGGGAAGAAAGTTTTCCTGCCGATTTGTGCCTGAATCCCAAGAAAAGCGTAACAGACGCCCACTGCATTAAAAAGGGACGTAGACGTGCATTAAATCCCTTATGTCTTACTTTTTAATGATGCAATTGTGAATTATGTTCTTGTTGCATTTGTAATTAGAGGCTGCAGCAGATGGTGAAGACTTATTTTAAAGTGATGTGTCTATTAAAATAAGCCACACTGCCAAGTGATTGCTCACTGTAACAGCAGCTTTACGCCCCTGAAACCCTCCGAATCTTTGTTGATGTGCACTTGATTACCACAGCTGATTACATATCTGCACATATTTGCTAGAGAATGTATCAGGGATCTTTGCTATGTGAGATACTTTATTTCAAAGTGTGTGTTACCACAATTAGAGATAATGAAGCTTTCAATGAATTATTCAGGCCCACCCTTGACAAAGGGAGGGTACTGATTTCCCTTTTCAATAAAATTCGACATGAATCTCTCCAAACCATGGAGGCTGATTCTCCCACGCAAAGAGGGGAAGCCTGGGTAATCAGCATGAGGTTTATCGGTTGTAGAGGACATTTGTGTGTGTGTGTGTGTGTGTGTGTGTGTGTGTGTGTGTGTGTGTGT